CTTGAAGTCCTCGGACAGAAACCAGTTTACTTTGGCATGCCACAACGCTGTCCTCCTGGCGTGTTTGGGTCCGCCCAGGTCTGACTGCGTGGAGGCACGTTCTGTCCCTCTGAAGCAAAACCGAATCTCCGCTTTGAGTTTGAGGTATCCCGCTCGTGTGGGCCGTGCTTTGCTGACAAGAGGTCTCATTCCACTCCTAAAAGGCTTTTCAACGTCACCAACGCACCAGCGTCTGCACGGCTCCTTCTCTCCTTTGGGGGCTTCACCCACCGTGCCACGGTGAGAGGTAACTCAGCTTCACCAGGCCAAGTAAACTGTTTTCGGACTAGTGCAGGAGCTAGCACCGGAGAGCAGATGCTGAGAGGAGATCCTGGCAGTGAGAGGGATTTGTGTCAAAATCAGCTGCCTGGCAGGGAAAGGGCTCGTTGTCTCTATTCCCTCTCACCCGGGTGATGCTGTTCTGAGGTACTGAAGGGCGGGATGGATTTATCTGCCCCAGGCACCCCTTTAACGTACGAGCTTTTGGTAACAGGATTTGTGCCCCTCCGCCCCCGCCCAGTGTCTTCTGAAGTCTTTACTCAAGATTTACCTGCTTCACTGATAATGCAGGATCTCACTCATTCTTAGCCCTGGAAAGTTATTCCCAAGCTTGCTCAAGCTGCCTGGAATTAACGTGTTTCTATGTAAAAAGAGAGAGAAAATTCAATGGCATTTGACTACACTTAAATTATTTTATGAATTAAAGACATATGGTCTTAACATGCCCCAAACAGCTCACTAAGCATTGCAGCCAGAAAGCCATTTTTTCCCTACGTTAGCAGGCTAGTGGCAAATAAAATAAAAAAACATTTAAGAGAAGGAGCTGAGCCGAAAAAAAATGCACAAGACTTTGGACGAAAGCTCAGAAATGGCATACAGTGTCAATTCAAGAGTCACGTTTCAAGTATCCTGACCCCTATGAATGCCAAATTCTTCATTTTGCAGGTGTTACGCGCTACACATTAAGCGACACAGTAAGTAAACACATTAAATGTTTTGGAAGAAACTGAAAGGAGGAGAGCCGAGGCTGCTCGGGGCCCTGCTGACCTGCATTACAACCAGCGACCTCGCGCTCAACTTCAGAAATGCCTCCACAAAAGTGATTTTCACCCAGGCTCCATCCCGTCCCCACAGCTGAATGCAGCGTCAATACTCTCCCGGCTTGCACCCACAGAGGCAGAGCCGTCATGCCTGTGCCCTTACCCCTGCTGGGGTGGTTGCTCTCGTCCCCACAGCCCTGCCCCAAAGTCCGACCCCGGGTCCCCGCGGGGTTTTTCAGATGGATCGGGCTTTGCCTGTCGGTTTGCTGCCTGCGGCTGCCCGGCGCCACGTACCCATCTTGCCGTCCCTGCGCTCCACAGCACTGCTGAACTGGCTGTCCCTCGCCCGGCGATCCCAGGAGCCAGACCTTCGGTGCAGCGAGCGGGGTGTAAAGGCAGCCCCTCCACGACCCCTGAGCTCCTGAGCTCTGGTGCTGGAACTGGTGACTCCCTGCTGCATCGCAGCCGAAAATCTGCAAGGGAGACAGACAGGTAAAGCATCGCTTCATCAGTAAGGAGAGGGGAGTCCGAGGGACAGCTTTCTCTGACACAGCTCCACACCCCACACCAGGAGAGCCACAAACTGCACCCCTGCCATTTCCTTGCCACCCGCGACTGCCAAATTACCGCCGTGGCAGTCGGAGATCTTGCCACGCTGGGTGTCCACCGGTGGGCTAAACGCATCACGGCTGAGGTCACCGCCAAATCCCCGGGAGGACACGGTGAGTCTTGCACTCTCAGACCATGAGCTTGAGCAGCTCATTTTGAAGTTGATGAATTTGCAGGAAGGGAGGTGTGGGGTGAATAAAATCCGTCATACCACTTGGCATTGCTTCCAGCCTCCACCGAAGGCAGGCCGAGGTTCAGGGTACCCGCGGCTGCGAGGGACAGGGCTGACAAAATACTCTTGGTGGCTGCACAGCTCTTCGGCTGCTGATGCTAGCCTTTGGCTTGGAAAGGATAGACGACTTTGCCGCTAAATATCAGGAAACTGAGCCTCGCAGCAACGATTAACCACTCCAAGGACAGCACGCACGAGGAACGGTGAGAGCCTTCTAGAGATGCCCAGCGTTTCAGCTCAGGACTGACCAAAGCCGCGTGTCTGCCCCTTTGGTGAAGCCTGGCTCTCCAGCTTCCATTTCTATTCCAAACCTGGCCATTACGCCAAAAAATGCCATAAATATTTTTTCCATGTTGGGGCTGGCAATGCTCCAAATTTTGCATTAAGAAAACACTGAAAGCCGTAATGTCTGCCTTTTTTGATGCATACAAAAATATCAGGTTTTGTAAGCTCAGCATGTTCTCTGCTGGTTGGAGGGTGAGCGCAAACCCTTGCTTTTCCACGGAAAATTTCCAAGCTAGCTCCCCGTGGCAGGACGCGGCAGGGAGGCTGCGTTCCCACCCTCGGCCCCTGCTGCACCGAGTCCGATCTCTGAGCCCCACGCACGCCAGAGTGGGATGACGCTCATGATGCCCCACGCAAAGAAATGGGGATCTGGAAGTGGGGGATGCAGTCTTCCAGGTGGCCACTAGGTGGGAATAAAACCAGCGCTACAAGTGTCATTGGGGCACGGAACCATTCAGGAACGCTGACCAATGAACGGATTTTTTTCCCCTCTGCTTGATTTGAGCTCATCGGAACAAACCAGCTTGGGTGAGTTGAAAAGAACCAACAAGTTTTGACTAGTGATGAATTGGCTGAAATGAATTATCTGAAGGAAAACTAAATGAACAGGTGAGTATGTTGGGAGAAGAAATAATCCCAAATCAAGTTACCTGCCTGTCTCAGAACCTGTATTTTCCACTGGAAAAATCCTTTGGGTGGAAAAATTCCCAGCGAAATGTCGCTGCAGAAAGAGAGCCCTGCACCCCTAAGAGCGGAGCAGCTGACTTGCCTGGCTGCGTCAGGATATCTGCAGGGGGATGTCGTCGTGGAGGCAACGGCTGAGGAGGAATTACACGAGTCGGGACAAAGGAACGGTCACCACAGCATCGCCTGGGACAGGGACGCTGGCCGGGGGAAGCCAGCAGGGCCGTGACCGGGCCCTGGTAGCCCCGACACCGACCCTTCCCCGGCTGAGCCTTTGCAGCTGCAGAGGGTGGGGTTGGGAGTACCCTTTTCTGGGGGTTCTTCCCATTTCAAAGACAAACACATCACTAGGGAGAAGGAGAGGACCTGGTTAGAAACCAGGCTGCCTGGAAACGATGGCTTGGACTCACCCTGCTGTGTTTTCCAGCCGTTGTAAATCCCCTCTGATTTCTGATATTTGACCTTCCTCACTCAAATGCTCCTGTCCTTCTGGTGAGCTTTCTCCAGGGGCTGAAGCTTGCTGTACCTTGCTCCGCTGTCTCAGTGATGCTTGTTCTTGGCATGGGTGGGCTGGACCTCCTGAACGAGCTCCAAATGTTTCAGAGGCCACACTGGAGGTGCACTGATTTTGTGAGGTACTGAGTTCTCCTGTTTCCTCCTGACTTCAACACTTGTCCTCTTTACAGTCAAAATCCTCACCATCTTTTCTCGCCCTCATCTACACCCTGTTCTTCCCTGATTTTCCGTTCCCTTATTACAACTCTACAGTCTGGTTTTCACCACCCCCCCTCTCAGCAGTGACCTGAAGGCTTTTTCCCTCTTGTTGTGCGTATCCATACGGATATCCACCGCCCATCAGCCAGACCTCTCTCCTGAAATTAACCCCTATTTCCCCACCTCTACCGCCTACATGACAGCAGTTCTGGGAGAGGCAGCTAAACTGGCTTCTCCTCCTCACCCGTGTGGCTTGCACAACCGCCTGGGCCTCCCGTTACAACGAAGGGCATCGACGACCAGCCTGACAAACAGGAATAGAAAGAGATACCATCACAGGACCACTGGGGGCCACTGACAAATGTCCACAGACAAACAGTGGTTCCCAGTTGGGGCTGGTGCCTGTTC